TATCTGGCTGGGCACAGTGGCTCACGCCTGTAATCCCAGCACTTTGGAAGGCCGAGGAGGGCAGATCATGAGGTCAGGAGTTTGAGACCAGCCTGACCAACGTGATGAAATGCCATCTCTACTAAAAATACAAAAATTAACTAGGCATGGTGGCACGTGCCTGTAATCCCAGCTACTCAGGAGGCTGAGGCAGGAGAATTGCTTGAACCTGGGAGGCGGAGGTTGCAGTGAGCTGAGATCACATCACTGCAACCCAGCCTGGATGACAGAGAGAGACTCTGTCTCAAAAAAAAAAAGAAAGCAATATATCTAAAAATATCTCCATTCACACACAGAAACTAAGAGAGCAAAAAAAAAAAGAGAATAAAAATTGGCATGTTTCAAATATATTTATAATAAGGAAATACTTTAATGTGTGTGTGTGTGTGTGTGTGTGTGTGTGTGTGTTTTTAAAAAGACCACTTAGGTCGGGTGCAGTGGTTCAAGCCTGTAGTCCCGGCACTATGAGAGGCCAAGGCAGGAGGATGCCTTGAGCCCAGGAGTTTGAGACAAGCCTGAACAACATAGCAAGACCCCGTCTCTGAAAAAAGTACAAAAATTAGCCAGGCATGGTGGCACGTGCCTGTGGTCCCAGCTGCTTGAGAGGCTGAGGTGGGAGAATCACCTGAGCCCAGCAGGTCGAGGCTGCAGAAAGCCACAATCGTGCCTGCACTCCAGCCTAGGTGACACAGCAAGACCCTGTCTCAAAAGTAAAAGTAAATAAATAAATAAAATTTAAAAGACTGCTTAAGGATGACTACATATTTATTAAGTTTTTTTTTTTCTCACTCTATTGCCCAGGCCAGAGTGCAGTGGTGCCATCTCAGCCACTGCAACCTCCATTTCCCAGGCTCATGGAATCCTCCCACCTCAGCCTCCCAAGTAGCTGGGACCACAGACGTATGCCACTACACCTGGCTAATTTTTGTATTTTTGGTAGTGACGGGGTTTCACCAGGTTGCCCAAGCTGGTCTTGAAGTCTTGGGCTGAAGCAATCCATCCCCTTCGGCCTCACAAACCGCTGGGATCACAGGCATGAGCCACTGCGCCCAGCCTACTTAAATATTTATTACAAAAACACAGACTCTCCAAAACAGCACGAAAGAAAAAGAACACTGGTCACCAATTTCTAAAGAGTAAGATGTCCCGGCAAAAACATATTCTTCATCCTTTACCACAATGAGGATTATCTTTAAGTTTCTTTTTTATACTCTGGTATGAAAAGTCGTTTCATGGATCCAGCTTGTCTTGTTCAGCATTGGGGACGGTAGCTCACGGCAGCTACTCAGTCAATATTCATAGAACGACTGCATTAAGTGTATATATATATATAAAGAGATTGGCTAAATATGATTGTATCTAAACACAATGATATGATATAGACATTTCAAATGAGTCATAAATATTTTTCACATAGAAAGATTTTTCATAACCTAAATAAAGCAAGTAGTCAATACAGCAAGTTACAAAATAGTTTATAAAGAAGACACATGTTTTCTCTTTCTTCTCTGTCTCATTCTCTCTCTGTCACACATAACTTTTAAAACTCTGCTCATAAGCTTGACAAACAGGAGCTAGGGAAAGCCGCTACAGTGTTTGATTACTGTGCGCGTCTCTTATGTTATGTCTAAGATGTCAGAAACGGGCCTGGAGCGGTGGCTCACGCCTGTACTCCCAGCACTATTTTTTTTTTTTGAGACAGAGTCTAACTCTGTTGCCAGGCTGGAGTGCCATGGCCCAATCTTGGCTCATAGCAACCTCCACCTCCCAGGTTCAAGCGATTCCCCTGGCTCAGCCTCCCGAGTAACTGGGACTACAGGCGCACGCCACCACGCTCAGCTAGTTTTCGTATTTTTAGTAGAGAGAGGGTTTCACTGTATTGGCCAGGATGATCTCAATCTCTTGACCTCATGATCTGCCCGCCTCAGCCCCCCAAAGTGCTGGGATTACAGACGTGAGCCACTGCGCCCACCCTATCTCAGCACTTTGGGAGGCTGAGGTGGGTGATTCACCTGAGGTCAAGAGCTCGAGACCAGCCTAGCCAATATGGCAAAAACCCGTGTCTACTAAAAATACAAAAATGAGTTGGGTGTGGTGGTGGGTGCCTGTAATCCCAGCTACTCAAGAGGCTGAGGCAGCAGAATCGCTTGAACCAGGGAGGCGGAGGTTGCAGTGAGCTGAGATCATGCCGCTGAACTCCAGCCTGGATGACAAGAGTGAAACTCCATCTCAAAAAAAAAAAAAAGAGGTAAAAGAAAACATTTTTTCTACTGTCAATTAATTAATTACTTTTATTTTTTTGAGACGGAGTCTTGCCCTGTCATGCAGGCTGGAGTGCAGTGGCATAATCTCGGCTCACTGACACCTTCACCTCCCAGGCTCAAGCAATTCTCCTGCCTCAGCCTCTTGAGTAGCAGGGATTACAGGTGTCTGGCACCACACCTGGCTAATTTTTATATTTTTTTGTAGAGATGGGGTTTCACCATGTTGGCCAGGCTGGTTTCAAACTCCTGGCCTCAAGCGATCTTCCCACCTCGGCCTCCCAAAGTGCTGGGATTACAGAAGTGAGAGACCGTGCCCTGCTTGCCAGTGAATTTACTTTTGCTTCAGAGTTGCACCGGTCGTCATCAGCCCCACTGTCCCTGGTCTCTCACGGATGATGACCACACAAATCCATATCATCTGGCCTTTATCTTCAGCCTATCCCTGGCATGTTCTGTCATGGGCGTTTCTCAACAAGCCACCTGCTTAATATTCAAATCATAATGAAAACAGCTCTGTACCAGTCAGTGTGGACGTCCCAGGGTCTGCTAAGCACTCACATTAACTCAAAGTTAATGTTATCAAGCTTTAAATTGATAACATTAAAACATGCCTGCCATGAAGCAATGAAGTTCCTGGCAAAACTGACACAGTAACTCAGAACCTAAAAGTGAATTGTAGGCCGGGTGGGGTGGCTCACGCCTGTAATCCCAGCACTTTGGGAGGCCGAGGCAGGTGGACCACGAGGTCAGGAGTTCAAGATCAGCCTGGCCAACATGGTGAAGCCACATCTCTACTAAAACTACAAAAATCAGCCAGGTGCATTGGCAGGCAGGCACCTGTAGTCCCAGCTACTCAGGAGGCTGAGGCAGGAGAATCACTTGAATCCGGGTGGCAGAAGTTGCAGTAAGCCAAGGTTGTGCCACTGCACTCCAGCCTGGGCAACAGAGGAAGACTCCATCTCAAAAAAAAAAAAAAAAAAAGTGAATCCACGCACATGTATCTTACTTTCAGTCTGAAAGTCGCATCCCGAAGTGATAATAATTAACCTTCACATTGCTGGTCTGTAGCACAACAGAAGTAAACACTTAACACACTTAAATACTTCCACCTGGAAACAGTAAATCAAACTTTCTATTTACCTGTGGTGACAACTTCTGGGTTCTGAGCTTGTCTTGCCACAAACTGTGAGTCCACAGAGCAGGCAGGGGCCCGAGCTTCAGCCTGGCAGTAAGAAGATGGAGGAGGAAGTGATTACTATGTTCTCTGGATGCCCTCAACTCTCCACCGCCTTGGAAGAAGAAAGTTACCCCCTGCCCCGCAACCACACTGGTGTCGCACGGTCCTTCCCAGGAAAACCCGTGCCCTTGCCCCGACCCAGTTCCCCAGGGCACCCTTATCCCAAGCAGGCTGGGAGAGGAGGGGCCTCCCTGGTTTACCGGGGTGGGGAGGGGGAGTCGGTGGGGCAGCTGGGGCTGAGGTGGGCGTGCAGTCCCGGAGGGTCCCACGAAGCCCGGCGGTTAGACAACCGTGGGTTTTTCTTGGAAAGAATCCTGGCACTTGGAGAGCACTTCCTCTCGTTTAACTTTTAAAACAGGCTTCAGAAACGCACAGGCGCGCAGCTGTGCCCTGGCAGTTGGGGTGGGAGAGGGGACAGAGCCGACCTTCCTGACTCCCACCGGCACCACCCAGCGCCCCTCCGGCTTCACCCGCACCACGCGGGCCGCGCAGCCCAGGACTCCGGAAAGACCTGGGAATGCCCGCGCCAGACCCGCAGCGGCCCCCACCCGGAGCGACGTGGCGCGGCTTCCGCAGAGAAGCCACCCGGCCGAGCGCAGCCTGTCCGGGCTGCCGGGGGTCACCCCGCCGCGTTGGGGCACCGAGCGGGAAGTGTTCCTCAAAGGCGGTCACAGCCGGAGGAACCAACACGCGCGCCTTGGTCCGGCGGCAGCCGCCGGGCGCACCCACCCAGGGTCGGTCTGTCCGGGCCCGGGTTTCCTCGCCTCAGGGATCCCTGGGGGTCTTGGGAAGCCACGGCGCCGAGGGATGGGCAAGCCCCGATGTCCCCGCCCGAGGGCCTCCTTCCCAAGGGGCAAGCCGAAGACTCAGAGTCGCTGCGGTCGCCAGACCCGACCTCCGCGCAGCGCCAAGTCTGGGACAGCCGCGGAGTCTGGGGTTCCGAGCAGGCCCCCCGCGCTAGGAGGGAGGCGGAGCAGGGCCCCGGGACACCTTGCACGAGTCCTCGGCGTGTGTCCTCGCCCCTCGCTCTCAGGTCTCCGGCCGCGCACCCTGACCCGGGGACCCCGGGCCCCCGAGACCTCGAGACCCCGGGCCCCGCGCATGCGCCGCCCAGCCCCTGCCCCTCCCCCGTCCGCCGCCGTCTGGGTCCCGGGACTGGGTAAGCCCGGCCCGCGGACCCCCGCGCGCGCCCGCCCGCCCCTGGGCACCTGGACCGCGGTCCGCCGCCTGCCGGTCCGTGGGGCGAGCGCCGAAGGAGGCGGCGCCGGGCAGGGCGCTAGCGGCCGCCTCCGCCCCCGCCGCCCGCTGCCCCTGCCGCGGGGCCGCCGCGTCCACGGCCCATGCCCGGCGCCGCCTCTGCGCGTCCGTGCCAGCCGCGCCCCTGCGACACGCGCCGCCCCTCGGCCCGCCCCGGTCCGCGCGGGCTCCTGTCCCCGGGCCCGACCCGGAAGCCCCGCCCGCCCCGCGCGCCCTCGGGGCGCCCAGGCCCGGGCCACGGGACACACCCCCCGGACGGCGGCGGCCGATTGGCTGCTCGCGGGGGCGGGGCCCCGGGAGCGCTCGGCTGCTCCCACCTAGTGCCTCGCGTCCGCTGCAACCAGGGGAAACTGAGGCCGGATAGGTGGAGGAGTCCTCCAAGGTCACCGCCGGGACACCGCTGAGCGTGGGCGCCCCTGCGGCCCCGCGCACCCGAATGGGACTGAATTCGAGGAGGGGACGCGCGGCCGCTGAGCGGGTGGAGGTTCCCGCTGAGTGCCCGTGCCACGCTGGCGAGTCCCTCCTGCCTCCTCCGGGAGCCGGGCTCCGCCGTTCGGTGCGATGAGCAGGTCTAGACCCGGGACCGGGTGCCCTTGAGCCTCCAAAGTGCGTGGGGTGGGAGGCGGGCCGGGAAGGACCTTGTCCCTGGAACCCAGGATGCAAAATAAGGGGAAGGGGAAGGCGAGCTGGGAGGACGAGGAAACAGGTGGCAGGAGGTGCCAGGGCGGTGTGGCGGGCGGGGGAACGAGAAGGGTGAAGGGCAACGCGGACGGGCTCAGGGAGGCGCCGCTAGCTCCGACCCCACATCTCCACCCATCTTCCGTGGCCCGAGAGCCATGCGCGCCCCCTACTCCGTGCCCGGGGGGGGTGATGAGGGGGCTGACTTTGTGCCCACGCAAGGCGCTGGGACTCTGCCAGCGCAGGGGGAGGTCGCGGCCCAGCGGCCAATGGCGAAGAGTTGGAGAGCGCCTGCAAAGCCGCTTTGTTCGCGCTGTGACGCCCGAGCTCTCTGCGCGGAATGCACAAAGCCCCTGGGTGCCGGCACATCAGGGCGCCCCTCGTCGGGAACGAAATGTGTGCTATGCCAGCCCCACTGCCAGCTGCGCCTGCCACTGTGCTATTTGTGGCAACGGGCGCCCAGGAGGACCCACTCCGGAAAGGAAACGCAAATCTCATTAGGCAGGGGAACTGGAGACCAGGCAGGAACTGGCCCTTGCACAGACTTCTCTTAAACTCACCCTTGTTGATTAGCTAGGCAACTATGGTGAACTTTGCCCCACCCTCCAGACCCTCCCACGTATCCTTCCCGCTGGTACATGGCAGGCTCAGCCTTTCTTGCACATGCTAGCCACCAATAGCACAGATTCATGTTATGTGTCAGTTTACAGAGTGACCCATACAGTTAATATCCTGGATATCTTGGGGGGTGTGCAGGCAGCCACATCCAAGCTTGTCATCCTGTTGTGCTTGGTGAGGGAAGCTGACCCTCAGCTGCCCATGCAGAGCTCCGGGGCTACATCCTCATGAAGACCTCTGGACTCAAGGACATTAGGTGGCATACCGAAATCCCAGGCTCTCAAGAACCAGGGTCCACACAGCTGTGTTGGCTTCTTTTCCCAAATGCAACATCCAGGTCAACCAGGTGTTGAAAGACCTGGTGTACCTTGTCATGAACAAGCACAAAGGTTGTGTGGGGCTCTGCAGAGTGGTTGTGAATACTCAGCAGACACAGAAAAGACGATATTCCTGGGTTCTTGGGGCTCCCAAGGTTTTAGGAAGAGAAAACTTATTTTTCATTTATGTGTCCCAGAAATAAGAATTTTCAATCAAATGCTTTCAGCCAGTCTCCCGCAGACGTCCTGGGGTAGAAGCAAGTTCAGGATTTTTCTCTTGGGAGCATCTTAGCCAGAAACAGCCCCTATCTACTGCCTCCCGGGGCTGGCAGGTTTCTTTTGGGAAACCATGCTCACATGAGAGAGGTGAAGCAATTTTCTGTTGGCCACAAAGACCTTGTCACACACCCAGCATGGGAGCAACTGTCACAAAGGGTACACCTCACCCACCCCCAGCTCCAGGAAGCCTCTCTTTACCTTCTTCAGTGCTGACGAAATGAGGGCCACACGACAGAACAGAAACGCCACTGGTACAGGGACTGAGTAGAAATCTGTAACTTGGAGGACAAATCAGTGCCCTTGAAAATGTCTCTGAGCACGCCCTGAGTTTCCTCTTTGGAGCCTAGTGACTGCTGGGAGCACCTGTCTGGTGCACAGGGATCTCAGTTCATAGCTTCCATTTATGTGGTGACAATGCTGTCTCAGGTCCCTTTTGACATTTGCTGGTCTTGAAGATGTTCTGAAGGTAATTCTTATTGTGCCCACATTACGAGAAGGAGACTGAGGCACAGAGTGGCCCCATCTGCACTGGGTCCCCCAGGCCAGTGGCAGGGCGCAGGACAGAAGGCAGGTCTGTAAAGCCCACAGCTGCCCTGCTGAGCCGCTCACTCCTGCAAGTGCAGACCTGCCAGCCAGCCAGAGAAGCCCAGGCTCTCCCACAGTCTCGGGGAAGCAACTGGGAAGCTGGGAATTCAGGGGGAAGGGGTTGCTGGAGGAGGCACCCTGGAGTGGTAGGGCTTGGCCACTTAGTACTAGGCAGCAGCTAGACCCCGAGTGCTGGGAGCAGGTGATGACAGTCATCTGTGTTCAGGGACCCCTGACCCTGCCAGGGTGAAGCTTCTCCCATGGGCCCGGGGTCCAGGCTGGGGTCTGCAAAGGTTGCTGCTGGCTTGCCCTCTGCTGATGTGCAAATCCCCCTGTCAAGGGGGTGTGTGCTTCCAGGGTGTCATCCGCCAGGGCAGTGGCCTCTGAGCTCCTGGAAGCAAGCCTGCAGGTCAGGTGGTGGAGTCCACCAGGGCAGAGGCTGTGGGCGGAGAAAGGGAGGGCTCATTGTCAGCAAGCAGGGAGCTGCTTGGTGACCTGAGGATGGACCTTGTCAGTGAGGGGCAACCATGGGTATGTCCTTGGTTGCCATCCTGGTGCTGACAGCAAACCCCTATGGGTCCAAGGTAATGAAAGATTGTCACAGTAGGGCACAGAACCCACAAGAGCCTCATAAGGTGGCTGTGCATACGCCATCTTTCAGGTGAGGAATGCAGGGCCAGGAAGGGCAGCACGTGGCCAAGGTCCCCAGCAGGGAGTGAGAACTCTCCCGAGTCCCAGTCCATCAGCACCTGGTCTTGGGTGCTCCTGGGGTTCGGCTGTCTGGGGCAGAAGCTGTCTGCTGACTGATATGGCAGCCTCTGGAAGTCTCAGGAGTCCAGGGTTGACGATAGGATTTCCCTGGTGGCTGGTCCTGGCCCGACAGCTCCATGGGAGTGGCAGCAGCATGTGCAGAAGCCTGTGACAGGAGAGAGGGGCCATGTTCAGTGGGAGACAGTGTGGAGATGGCACAAGATGGGCAGAGCTGTGTTGGGCCCTGGCCAGGCAGGTCTTACGGCCCGGTGGGGAGTTAGGCTTTGGTCATAAGGGCTGCCGGACACCTGCCATGGGGGGTTGTCAGCAGGAGCGGGACTCCATCCACTTAGCACCGAGTGCTGCATGCTACATGCTACCCGTTAACCAGCGGTCACAGCTGGAGTGGGGAGGGGCTTAAGCTGTGCACCTATTCTAGCTTTGCAGGATCTGGAAGCTTCTGCAGGTCCAGAAACTGCTGCTGTCATGACACTCTACCCTTTGACAATTAAGCGGTCTCCAACTTTGCAGCAGGCCCCATTCGACATGGCTCAGATGTCTGTCTCTGTAGATCTTGAGAAGGCCAGGGCAGCCCACCTGTGGCTACACAGCCTCCCTTCTTCGCCCCTCCAAAGGGACAGGTGCCCCCGTCGTCACACAGGATCCAGCTCCAGGGCTGGATGGCGGATGTCTTTTATCCAGTCCAAGGCATGGACAGGAAACTGTGGGACCGCTGACTGTGTCATTCTAGGTGCCATGGGAGTCTCACTGAAAAGCGTAATGTGTAGATAGATGCATTTTCTTTTCCTTCCTTCCTTCCTTCCTTCCTTTTTCTTTCTTCTTTCTTTTCTTTCTCTTTCTTTTTTTTTTGAGATGGAGTCTTGCTTTGCACTTGCTGGAGTGCAATGGGGAAATCTTGGCTCATTGTGACCTCTACCTCCCAGGTTCAAGCGATTCTCCTGCCTCAACCTCCTGACTAGCTAGGAATACAGGTGCCTACCACCACACCTGGCTAATTTTTTGTATTTTTCATACAGATGGGGTTTCACCGTGTTGACGAGGCTGGTCTTGAACTCCTGCCCTCAGGTGATCTGCCCACCTTGGCCTCCTAAAGTGTTGAGATTACAGGTGTGATGCACCCAGCCAGATAGATTTGGTTCATAAAGGACGATCTGCTCTGTGTGGAGTTGGATTCTGCAATAATCTGACCCAGTGGCCCGGTCGTGAGCGGCGCTGCTGTAGGCAGAGAAGGCTGGAGATGCGGACATGAGGCCTGGCACGGCGGCCTGGAAACACGCACAGCACCTCGCTGCCCGGGCGCCGCCCCCTGCTTCCCTCATGGAATGAGTGAGCAGTGCCTGGGGTCTGGAGTTCAACAGAACTGGATTCAAATCCTCCTGTACCTTTCCCTCACACTACAACCCCTAGCCGGCCATGCCTGTCCAAGCCCCCTCATCTCTACAGCGGGGCAGCGAGGCCTGCCTCGTGGGTCCTGGTGTGAGTTTGAGGAGGGAGTGTGGGGGTGGTGCAGGGCGGGGCCTGGTGAGCGGGTCACATTTGGGACATGATAACCACCAGCTTGAGGGCTCTGCCAA